ATTAAATGTTTTGAGAAACTTTATGTCAAAGAAACGGACGATTGCACTTTTATTTATACGATTTTTTTTTTTTTTTCAAGAAAACCGTCCATTAAAATGAGGCTTTTCTATAAATTTGGCATAACAAAAATTTCTATTTTTAAAAAAAAATACGGGGAACGAAATTCCTCGACTAATTTCAATAAAAAGGCCTTATTACAGTGAACCCTCTATAAGTGCACCCCCTCGGAAACATAGTGCTATTTCTTGTGAGCGTGCATTTATGGAGGGTGTGCATTTATGAAAGGTGATTTTATAAGCTCTCTATAAGCTTGGTGATGAAATGAGCCGTGCATTTATGGAGGGTATACATAGTGCGTGCACTTAGGGAGGGTTCACTATATTATAACCTGATTTTTAATAAGTGTAACATAAAAATAGTGTAGCCGGAGACCTTTTTTCTTCTCTATTATTAATAATAATAATAACAAGTTTTTGTAATCGAGGATGTGCAAGTGAGCAGGGAGACCATTCTGGGAACACAAAATTTTAACCCACGCAATTTGTTGATTGACCAATTAAAATTGTGAATTTGATAATGTAGAAATAAATATGGGATTGATTCATTTTGTCAACAATCACTTCACCAACAATTATTTTGTTAACGAATTTAAGAAGTTGGAAGTAACCACACGACAAACCATTGAAACAGTCTAATAAATTAAATCGTACTACTCGAAAATGTATTTAAAGGATTGGTTTTTGACTTGGTTGAAGAATAACTCTCTTCCTAACTCTTCTCTCTCGATATAATCAAAATTGCCTTAACATAATGAATATCAATGAAATGATCGTAAACACAACGAAATTAAGGTACACGATCGAGATGGAAAATGAACAATTCATGAAAAATCAAACAAATGTTGCATAAACAACACTTTCTGCCCACGTTACCTTCACTAAGTTGTTGTTCACAGCTTCTTTCCATTTATTGCCTTTCAGTTGATGAAATTTAGTTGATTTGATGGTTTTACATTCCGTGTAATGTTTAATTTCAGACAATTTTTCTTCGAGCAAATCGTATTATGGAAGCTGTGAGATTCAAAGGGATTCAAAAGATATGATGATAAAAAAGTGTAATAGTAAAGTTTCAATCAAATTTGTGTAATTATTTACACATGATTTATTGTCAAGAATGGGCTATGTAATACCCTTGTAAAAGTATTTTAAACTGTATAAAAAAAATTGAAATCAAATTGTGAAAATTCATTCCTTATATAGGACGGAAGTGAGCATGTTGGAAAAAAAAAATCAAATGACGCACATTGATCGATTACATTTTTTCAGAAAAAAAAAAGTCAAAGATAAAGAAAAGATAAGCCAAAGTATTATTGTGTTTTTTTTTATTTATTGTTTTATCGAAAAGAGAGTTGTTGAATTGAAAAGAATTTTGCTCGATCAATAAATACAAACAGTTTATATATCAATCAAAAAAAATAACTAACTCACTTAAAGGGAAGAAGGATCACAATCGAAAATCACAATCGAAAAAAATGACTAATTCGCGAACGGAACAAAAACTTTGCAACGGCACATTCATTCATTGACCAAATGTGATTTTTATTACGCGACGACTGTATTTATTTAATAATCATACACTTTAGTACTAGCGTAATTTTTGTTTGTTATATATATATATAGATAGACTACTTTGTTTGCGACATAAACAAACAATTTATTTTTATTATTATTATCGCACTCATTCGGTTATTGATTATTTCTGGAGTTAGTTGATCAAAGGGTTAGACCGCAGCGAACAAAAGAAAAGAAACCTCTCCGATTAGATGGTCGTGGTAGATAAAAAATAAAAAAAATAAAAAAAATAAAAAAAAATAAAAAAATAAAAAAATTAAAAAAATAAAACCAAAAAGATAAGGAAAGATCAAATTTGTTTTCAACATCAAATGAACGAATAGTGAAAAATAATTAGATTTAGTAAAATAATAAATAATAAATATATTAATAACATCAATCATTTCAAAGAGTAAAAAAAAAAAAAAAAAATTTTTAACTAAATCAAAGAAACGTCTCATTTTTTTCATTTCATGCTTCCCAAAAAATTGTGTTTAGTAAATATTGATTTTTTATCAGCTCAATGCTCACTCGATCTGTTCGATATGTTCGTTCGTTCGCTCATGTATAATGATCACTCTTCCACAACGTCTTATTTCCCGTACCACTGTTTATTTACAACAACAAATTTAATTTACAAAAAAAAAAAAAAAAAAAAAAATAGTAGATCAAAACCAAAATCATACAATCTATCCCAAGTAAGGAAAAAACTAGTGCTACGGGTTTTGAGCAATCTTTTATAAATGTTAATAATTCACACTTACTTAAAACCTCATTAAATATCATTTCAACTCAAATCTAGAACTAGAGGAATACTTTATAACAGGTTACTTTGTCACTTGTGAAACTTTTTTTTTAAATTGATTAAAAAAAAAAAAAGAATCTTTTTTTAATTTCTGTAGCAAATTTTATTATTGTTATATTTGTAGGAATGGATGCCAGATGATATTATTAATCAAGTTTTCAATAATATCAATCACCTGTGCGAATTGGGGGTCGGATCAAAAAATTTCATATATACTAGTTTTTTCTCAATATTTTTCTTCCTATGATTATTGTCGTCATTATTAATTTCCTCGTCTCTAATTTTGAATTACAAATTGTTTTTTTAAAGGATAGAATATTATTTACATTTACTTTTTTTAAAAATCTTTTAAATTGGGTCCCTTTCTTTTTGTTTTATTATTGTGAAATATTGATTTCGTATTCTAGAATGAACAAATTAATAAATGGATGAATAAATATAAACACTATATAGTTGGCATGCTTATAAATTGGGTGCTCGCGCTGATTTCCATAAATATGTTTTTTGCAATCAACCCTACAGTAAGATTAAATTATTAGACATGTTTTCTAGAAAATTGTTAATTTCCTATTTATTTATCTTTCAATCAGTCTTATCTCTAGAGAGAGACAGTACAGTACAACGAATGCTAACATACCCGCTTTCCAAATTTGTAACACAGCGATCAGATAGTATACAGCACCTTTAGTTCTCAATTAGAGACATCCATCCTTATATCATTCCTTCTTTTTACTGTAGTACAAAATCTGTATGGCTGTATGATCACCTGCCTTATTGATGACCTTGTTGCTCTTGTGTCTATTTTGGCACCCTTCTTTTCGTGGCACACGTTTGCTAACCACTACTGTATGGACTAATTTGGTATATTGCGGATAATTATAATGGCAGAGCAGAGATGACGATATTCGTAAATCACACATTGATGCTGGATGGATGAATTAAACTACTACTGGGGTTGATAAAATTAATATCAAAATTGATGAGATTCATAGATTCTATACTGATGGGCCTTTTTCAACTCATGGTTAAAACAAAACAATATCGATCTAAAAAATAAAATATACCTTCTTCACATTTTAATTCTAGTGATTCTCACTTTGTAACTTCATCAATACTGGATCTGATTTCCTGCTAATTTTGTTTGACGAAATGGTTACCAAAGTTGTAAAACTATTATGTCAAATTCGCTTCCATTAAGTCAAAAATGACACAGGTAAAATTGCTTTAAAGGGTGATAAAATATAAAAGTTCATAAAAAAATAATTAATATGTATTCCAAGGTCTATTTTTTTCTCGTGTATCCTCAATTCCTCCTTCAAGGAGCCAAGTTTTTCTTTTGCTGAATACAATCCAGTTCTCACACTCATTTACTAATATGATCGGGATAGATAAAATCATCAATTAGAGATTCGGTACTTTATTAATTGAAAGTGGGTGATGAAGATGAAGTGGAAGGTAGAAGAATATCATGTAATTATAATACTAATAATATGAATATAGATATTAGATCCTTCAAACTGCATTCAATTGGTCGTACATTAAATAATTGGTGGAGGGAATACACTTAAAAATATCAGGTGTTGAGTGTAATATCAAAGAAGTATTCCCTAAGGATATATTTGAAAATGATTGGCTATTAAATAATAATTATAAAGAAATTGAAGATGAACAAGATATTAAAATTTGGAATTTCATTTAAATTTATTTAGAAGATTCTATTAATATTGTTATCTATTTCACTAATGTGGGACTTTCTAATAGATTATAAATTATACCCAACTTTGCATATTATATCCATGGTTTTTTTCTATTTTCTATTGAAAAGCCTCTAAGAAAATCAAAACTAATTGATGTCGTAATCGGGGGGTTTTTTTGTGATCTGCATACCACGTACATAATTTCCGAATTTATGTAAGGAACATAGTAAACATATTGTTTTCAAACCATTACTCCTCTGTTTACAAAGATATAGGTACCAAATTTGCATGAAAGGTAGTATATACATTATAGTTTAGAGCTATGGAAAGATTTAACGGATGTAAAAATACAATTGGTAAATGGTGGCGTAAAAAACTCATTTGAAACACAGAAAATTTCTTTCTTTATCATAATACTTCTATCTATTGCAACTTCCGAAAAAATTGTACGAAATAAAGATTTTCCCTACATGGTACTGTTCTAGAAACGTCCCCCGATTTAATAATTTCATAAATGTAACGATTTATCAGAAGCCTTAGCGATTGAAAGTTCGTAGTTGTAATATTTTTTTTACCTCACGCAATTAAATTGCTTGAAAGATTCAAAAATAAAAATTTAACATGCAAAATTTTTTTGTTACACTGTTTTTTAGAGGAAAAAAGGGGAGTATATACCATAAAAAAATCCGCATAATAATAATAATATTAATTAGGAATACCCCTTAAAATAAATGACTCCTTTTTTTATACTAAATATGTAGAAGTTCAGTGAACTAATCCTGTTACACAGCGGATTTTGGATCTAATTTATATAATTTCTTTCACGTGGTTTTATTCCATTAAAAAGATTTAAATCGTTCAAATAAAATAAAAAAATAAGAACAATAATGTCACCCATTACTCGTAGCAAAACAAGTCCAAGACGTTGGTTATATCCGGTATTTCCAACTTTAGCAGAACTAGATGATGCTTTTCTATTAGCTGTATCGCGTATACAACAAGATGCTCAAAAATTACTTGGTGCGGAATTAACCGTACTAGAAATCAGGCAAAAACTTTACAATAGCCAGTCACAAGAATTCTGGCTGGTTAATAATTTCGATGCTTTACAAGAAGTTATGTATTATAAAATGAAAAAAAATTTATTTACCAATTATAAAGATCAATTAACAGCTGCTGGAATAGAAGTTACAAAAAAAGTGGATACAATGCAATTACTAATTAAGACAATTATTGATGATAACAACAACAGCAGCAATAATCAAATAGATTCGTTGGAATTTAGTAATGATCATTATCAACATAACAACAACAACAACAACAATAATTTTATTGATTCGCGAATTTCAACACTAATAACTGCTGATGATAACGATTATTATAATGACAATGATAGTGATATTTGTGGTGTAGGTAGCAGCAGTAGCGTTTGTAGTGAGCTTAATAATAATGAAATCAATTATAGTAATATTAGTATTAACCAGATAAGTAATAGTGAAAGTGGTTGTAGTTATTTTGGTAGCACGGTTAGTGACAATTACACATACAATAATAACAATGGCGATGGCGATGGCGATGGTGATAAGAATGGAAACAATGACACCATTGAATTAATTGGAGGAGAACAATCTTATACGGAGACACATCATAAATTTCAAGATTATATAAAAAATTTTATTTACAATATTGATTATTCGTATTTAAAAAGTTTAGGAACAAAAACAAATCTATTTGTTATAATAGTGTTGATTATAATTTTTTTTAATGAATTTGGTGCAAATTATTATTATCAACAGTTTACTACTGGTCATCATCAACACAAAAGGTCATTAAATAATGTTCAACTTCGTGACAAGGTAAAAGAACAAGTTATAAAGTATGCCGAGAAAGAGATTTCAAAAAGAACTCACAATTTAGCCAACAATAATAATAAACCCAATGATCTTATTGGTTTAGTTAGAACACAAATATCTGAGGTATATTATATTTAAAAGTGATAATAATAATTTTATTAATATTAATATCATTAATTGATCAATTAATTAATCAATTAAATATTAGGAATTAGAAGATAAGTTAACAAAGATTGTTCATGGGTCAAGTACTGATTATGCTTTATTTACAAGTGGTGCACAAATTATA